TATATATATATAAAAATAAATATAAAAGGTTTCAAAATATTCGCACATTTGTGTACTTTTAAAAAATCCAATATGGGGGTTCAAATATGGTGTCTGAAATTCGTAAAAGTCACAAATGTTTTTACAACATCGTCGATTTAAATGCGAAAACTTGAATCAGCTTGAAAATGATGATTACTATATATCTTATTATATAATAATATACCTCCTACATCGATTGACAAATATAAAACAGGAGAAAGGAAGCATACTTGACTCACGCATAGATGAAAAAAGTAAACAACTCTAACGCGAGAGTCTTACGAGATCTCTGCGTTCGTCGGCGGAAGGTTAACAATGACACACGGCAATCACATACGGCGCGCTGTTTCAAACTATACAGACTTCTATGACATATTCTAAAACACTTCCATTAGGCTCCCATATAGTTGATTGCTTTTTAACTTAAAATCGATTCGGATTGGTCGCTCTTATTGCGGATTTGTTCAATTGAGTAAACTCATTTTGTTTTCTTCCGGTAATTATGTCATTATTAACATTGCAGATTACCCGCCGTCAGAAATAGTTTATATGATTGGTATTTTTTATGCCACTAATAACGCTAGAAAAGCAGCTCGTCAGTATCGAGATAGGTATCCAGACGACATCCCGATCATAAAACAATTTTGCGTTTAACAACTAGAGCGCGTACGGGATTGATGAAATGCAAACGTTCTAAAAAAAAATCATTAAATAACGACGATGTTATTATCGTAATAATACTAGAAATGGTATGAATCCGCACATTAGTCAACGTCAAATTAATCGTGAATTAAATGTGTCTCCTGCAATTGTATGTAGAATTTTACATGCCAATAACATTCATCCACCTCGAGTCTTGCTTTCACCGGCCGGATCTACCTCTTCACTGGCCGGCACACCTTGGCTAATACCGTTTATTTTTTTATGCCTAATACATGTAATACTATAACTTTCAAGCCTCATAACTCGAAAAGTGCTTAATGAAAAACATATTTTATTATAGTGTTTTGGAAAGCTCTCGAGGTAAGCTATAAGAATATGCAATAAAAAAATGGAGGTTTTAATTCCATTAAAAAAATTTAATGTGACCTTCGTCTGACCTTACGCCATCTAAGTTCAAACCAAATGATATCATCTTATGTCTCCCTCGAAACCATACAAACTTTTGTTTGAAACATTCTTTTGTATCTTCCATGTTTTTTGAGATATTCCAGGCAAGATGACAGAAGATGAATAAAATCATTTGGTTTGAGCTTGAGTGGCGTTGTCAAGGTCAGACGAAGGTCGCATTAAATTTTTTAAATGGAATTAAAATCCCCATTTTCTATTAAAATGAAACACACTGTATATGAACATGTGGCAAGTCGTACCCCTGGGCAGGGAGGGAGGTGGGATGGATCCCACTTCGCGTAAAAGTTGTGCCCCTTGGCACATTTCGCGTTGAGAAATGTATGCGTGGAGGCAATATGTGTCGCCTTCTGCTAGGGGCACTACCCCTCAAAAATATAACATAATTCAACCCACTTTTTAAATATTTTTAATATTAAGTAGCTTTCGTTTTATATTGTAAAGTATATGCACTAATACTAAAATATGGATTGGATTAGATTAATTTTTTTGGGGCAGTGTGCCCCCCTCCCCTCCGCGGAAGGCGGCATGTACTGCCTCCACGGCATACATTTTATAACGCGAAAAGAGGACTATTATTTATTCTTATCATTAACAAAGCTTAAAAATATAGTTACATATTGAAAATTATAACGAACTGCGAGATTATTACACTCCAGGCCAAAAGTTTGCAAATACATTTAACAAAAACGTGATAAATTGTTATAAAAAAATATTTTATTAGAAGATGTTACATTAAATTCAAAATGACCTGAAATTATTTCAATGCTGCTGGGCCCACGTTTCTTTGTATTTATTGCACGCAACAAAAAGATTTTTTGCTACACAGCTTTGAGGCCTGCATTTCTCAAACGTTTTAGTATAATGAGAGAAACCGGATTAATTATCGCGACTTCTATTCACTTCTGCATAGATTTCCGATGCTGTTAGTCGTCCGTTAGTATTCCGCTTGCTTGTAATCACCATATACTGATCCTCTTGAGAAATGGTTACTTTTGGGCGTCCTGAACGAGTACGGTCAACCAGAATACTGGATGTCTTGTAGTACGCTATAGTAATTTTGGTAGTTTGGACACTCTTCAGCGATACTTTCACTTTTTTTGCGATAACCCTGACTGACTTTCTTTGTGTAAAGTTACGATAGCACTTCTCTTATTAATCGAAATTTCTTTAGATTTTACCATATTTTCTATAAAATTATTAATTCACAAAGTCAGTATCAAAGCACTTGTTGAAGCTTCGCTGTCGTTTTCACTATTAAGGTTCACCTGCATTAGCATACACAAGTCCATAACGCACTTGAAAATGTTTATATTATCGCAAGCAAATCATAAACACAAATAACTACTTACAGAAATTCGAGTACGCACGAAGAACTCTTTTGAAATGTTTACATAAGTATGCACACTACTCAAATTTAATTATTTCACCTCTCTGGTACATTTAGACATTTAGGTACATATGAATTTTCTAAATATCTAATGAGATAATAAACGCGGTAAGTATAAAAGAAAATACTATAGAAGCGAAAAATTCCGTTTAAGCATTTTAATGCTGCTCGGAACAGTGTATCCAAACTTTTGGCCTGGAGTGTACGTCCTACTGTTTAGAAAATATCTATTTTTCTTCTTCTTCTTTTATTGGCTCCGCAACTAGATAAGTTGGAACTGAGTATCCGATACTTATGTGGTAAATAAATAACAAAAACAATATGAAGAATACAAAAGTCTAAAATAGTAACACAAACTCAGTTGCGCGTTTGAAGTCAGTCTCACTTTTCAAAAATGATGATACAATAACATGTCCGATCACGTCGGCAGATGATGAGCCAATTAGAGAAAATATCTATGACTCTGTGATTTTCTGACTTTGTTTACATTCTTCAAGAGATCAGTACGGCATAGAAGGATTGCAAACCGCTGTTCATGGCTCTAGCTGCGTATACTGTGGTCAGATATCTGTTACTTATGTCATTTTGAAAAATATGAACATTTCCTACTAAAATATAGTCAACAAATGCTATCCTTTGTTTATATATGTGACTTTTTATAACCAAATTAAAATAGAACGTGATAAGTTGTGTACATTGTAAAAGACCTGATTTTGTGCGCGAACATAGTTCGCCAGAAATTTCGAAACAGTGCGCAAAATTAAGTTCGCTTCGGGAGGTGATACAAATAAATCAGATTCGTGTTTTTGCTATAGTAAAAAGTTGTGTATTTGAGTCTATGTAAGTCTAATACGTACAATAGAGTTTCTGTATGTAAGTAGATGTGTGCGTATACATACGATGTGTATGTATAATCACAACGCGGTACGGCTTGGTATTGCCTTCGGTGTCGTGGTCGCGGAGTACGGGACGCAAGTTAGGTGCGCGACACAGTACACCTGATTGGCTGACACGCGAGTATGCACCAGCAAATTGCGATCGCGGTCGCATTCGATAGCCGTCGCGAGAAACGTACGAGTTTTGCCCCGTTGTAACATGGGGAAAATGCAGAATGCGTTTGGGCACTCGACGGCCGAGAATACTTGGCGGAGGTAGAGAAATCTCTACCCCTTTGCTTCTGTCAAGGCCCAGTGATCTGAGGAATCGACGGTCGAAAACTCGTCAGAGCACGCTCTACCCTTGGATTTATATCGATGCGCGGAAAGGAAACGGAGGCAAATAAGCCACAGCAACTGAGAATACTCGGAGTACATTCCGTCACGGAAAATTCCCATCGGTGCAGCAGGTTCAGGTTATGTCGGTTGCTGTGAACTCTCGACAGTAGCAAAGTACGTTCTATCACTTTTTTGCGCTCACGGCCAGAAGATTCGGATCTGGAAAATAGCAGAATCGGAGCAGGAGCAAGATCGAAAAGAGAGCGTGCGCGGAGAAAAATGTATTTTTTATACTAATTATTGCTTCCGCTCGTATTGCTCTGGAATTGTTCGGCGATTCCCGCCGATTAACAATACGAGCGGAAGAGAACGAAAATCGACAGAATTCGAACGAGCTCGGATATCTCCGGCGGAGTGTCACTCGTGAGTTTCATGCGGTGTTACGGGCGCATCGCATCCTCAGTGATTGCATTCAGGTAATTACGCTAGGAATGATACACATCCAGGACGTATCGTTACAACTTTCTACTTTGATTTGAAAAAAAGTGCAGCTGAAACTCATCGATTGTTTGTGGAAACTTATGGTGAATCTGCTCCATTGAAAATGTAGAGATTGGTTTCGACGATGCAAAAGTGATGATTATGACCTTCATGATAAACAACGGCTAGATCAATCAAAAAAGTTCGAAGATGAACTGC